GTACTCAGTGTGTTATAGTGTGTTAGTCGATGCATTGATACATGAATTAGATGTGTATCATATGATTTCCTACGTATCAACAGTTTTTTAAAATTGTTATCATGTATCAGTCAAAAAATTTAGTAACTGCACCATCAAGTGTGCTTGCTGATACATATCGACTCAGTGTGTTATAGTGTTTAGACGATGCATTGATACATGAATTTGATGTGTATCATATGATTTTCTATGTATCACGAGTTTTTGAAAATTGTTATCACGTATCAATCAATAAGTTTAATAACTGCATGTTCATAAAAATGTCTTCAAACTAGATGATATAATCTTGAATTTTCAAAATTTGAAATTGTTATCCAATTACGTGCTGAATTAATGCTTATTAATGAGCTGTTACCGTAATTTAAGCTGATTTAGATAACAAATTTAAATGATCACCTTGTAATCTTAACAGTTTTAAGTTACTGTGTATCATTTACCATGTATCACAACACACTAATGTATCGCGCCACAACAATTTTAAGGAATCATTAGTAAATACTAAATTTGTTTGGACATAATGTAATTATTGTATTACACTATGGGATTCCTTAAATTTATACTAAATAATGCCACATGAAACCGAAGAAATAGACTAAAGCAAAAGGCAAATATATAGCTCCATGAATGATCAGTCACTGGCAATGCCAACAATTAATGTCCAATAACTATCACTTCAAATTATTTTTCTGTTTTCTTTTTCTTTCTATAATTTACACAATAATGCATGCAACTTCATTTTTTCAAAAGAGGGTTGTGGTTTGAATGTGAAATAGGAATGGGCAGACTGAGAAGAAATCATTCAAAAACACAAAAGTCCCATCTATTTTTGTTTATAGTTGGAAGAGGCAACACGAATCTTGAGACTAATCGTACCCCTCCTACTTTTTGTTAACATCATATTGATGAGTTACATGTGAAAAGAGAAATTTAAGAGTAGTTTAGACACAGACTTTTATAATGAAAACATGTTATAAAGGAAAATAATGATGTAAACTTAGGCTACTAGAAATAAAGATTTTCCCCACTATAAATTAATGATACCTTAGTGTTATACAACATGATTTTCCAGTCATTTCCAACTAAAGAAGTTCACCTCGGGATGACTTATATGGTTTGGAGAGTGATCAAATCTATACGAATGAATAAGGATCTATATCACCTCACAATGCTTTTTCAGTTGAGCTTGTGGCATAGAGTTTACCTAGTGCAGTTTACATCCTCTGTGTGGTTAATTTGCATGTAATTACTCGGTGGAAAATTTGCCCAATACACAAAATGCTCACTCGAATGGCAGAGGTTGTAGCGACTGTGATTATCCTTTAGTTCCGCCTAAAGAAATAGATTCTCAATATTATTAGTTTTTCTTTTTTCACAAAGTCAATCAAACCATCGTAGAAACAATTATCGATATTTTTCAAATGAAAAATAGGGATTTGTTAAGTATACTATGGACAAACCTCATAAACTTGATGTGCTCATTCCTTGCATCATCTTATACCAGTCATTTTGCCTTTCTCTTATTCGATTAAAACTAGACCAGAAAAAATAAAACATCCCTCTTGTCCTATTGCTTTTGTTTATCAACCTGAAAAACAAGTTGTAATATTTCAAATTTTGCTGCTCATAAAGTTACGTTGTTGTGGTCCAACTTACCATATTTGACTTTGGTATGTAACATTTTATGTAGATTTTGACCAAAGTTTTAAAAATGAATGGACACAAAACACATTAGGTGAAAAGTTATGACTATTATTCACTCTATGTTGAAAGTAGATTGAATTTCAAAAAGTTCTTCTCCTCACACCTTAAAAAGACTCGTGAGGTTTCAGTCTATAATATGCACGAAATCAAAGAAAAAAATTAAAACTTTTAACTTTCGTAATCTTAAATTAAAAATATATAAAACGTATATCAAATGTCTTTTAACTTTACTGAAACATGTTAAAAGGGAAGAAATGAAACTAAAAGGTTACTAAAAGAAAAGGCATTGATTTTTATTGTATAAATTTAACTTAACGTGTGGCAACTTTTTGTCACAAGTATGTTTAGATTATATTCAACTAAGAGAAATGTTTTTTGTGCAATAGATGTAAGTGAATGAATTAATGCATTTGAACATTTGAAATATTCTTTTCTATGTGTTCCACACTCGTATAGTATTTCTATATAATCATGTTTGGTACGTGGAATATATGTATTGTTGTCAGAGTAGAGCCAATATTTTTTATACCAACCATCTCACTATTCCTAACCCCATGGCCCATGTTCAAAAGATGATAGTGAATTCCTTGTCCCAAAGTTCTAAATCTCGAGGCAATAGTATTATGTCTGTTGTTTTATGGGGGTTGTGTTTTTGGAGATGCATACATACATATATAAACCTTCATATATAGGCTTCACACACACACACACACACATATATATATATATAATTGAATTATAATACATGAATTATTATGTGAAAACTATTAACGTATCGAGTCTATAAGGTAACTTAAGATTATTGTTAACAAAAAAAAAGATAACTCTTGTTTGTCTGGTATAAGATAATAGTAAGTTGTGTGATGTATGGTGTGCTCTCGATGACCCTTGAAAATCTAGAAGATCGATTATCGATCATGTTTCATAAAATTTGTTTTCTACCTAATATTTTAATATGGTATCATAATATTTTCAGATAATATAATCACACGTTTTGGACGAAGCTAGAAGTTAACCCCTTTTACCAAACCCTAGTTCACATGTCCCTACACACCCATTGGTTCCTCGTGGTCCAAGTGGGGAAGACCATTTGCTTCCTTACGCAAATGTTGGACTCGTACAAGACAGGCACCCCATTTCCATCACACACTACTTATCTTTAGATACCACACGAGTGTTGTCCTTTCATATTTTTACTTTTCTTGGTACTTTTTTTTTATCGAAGTTCTCGATAAAATTTAGATCCCACATTATAAGACATTTTTAAAGATGATACTTCCAACATAATTTTTTTGAACTCGAATCATCACTCTACTACATTTTATTTAGGTGGTTTCTCTCTTTTACTTTCTTACTTTTTCTTCCCTACACTTTCTTATATTTGACACTTATGGTCCATTAATTTTACTCTATCCATCATTCCTCGTATCATTTTTTCCAATTTTTTTGGTCCAAGAAAGGGAAACAAAGGTCTAAGAGCCTGTTTGGCTCAGCTTAAAAGCTGGTCAAACTGACTTAAAAGCTGGTTTTTGACTTATTTAGCTGTTTGACAATACTCAAAACAGCTTATTTTAAGGTTAAAAAAACTTATTTTAAGCCAAAAGTTAAAAGCTGGGGTAGGGGTGCGGGATGTCTTTTTTTTTTTAGCTTATAAGCTGTTTTAAGTTGACCACATTTTTATCTTTTTGTGCTTAATATTTTTATACAATCTTCAAATTACCCATATAACCCTAACATTTCTTTCTTCCATTTATCCCTTTTCACGTTTGACATAACAACTTCAGCGTTTTTATCCAAATGCATAACTGCTTATTTTAAAAATAAGTTTCAGCACTTTTAAAAGTACTTTTTTAAAGCTGCTTTTATTAAGCCCATCCAAACGGGCCCTAAATTTACGGTTGCATGAACAAAAAAAGGACACTCCTTCCTGACCCCCACCCCCCACCCCACACAATACAATCAATCAATCTGAGTTTAGGTCCCATTAAATAGGCTTTTTTTTGCAGAAAATTGGATCCAAACAAAACTAGTCCTTGTCATCTTATTTTCCTTGTACATCAAAAGACACTCTCTATATATATAATAAATACTCTCTACCTTCTAATTAATGTGGCATAATTTATCTAATTAATACAAAATTTTAAAAAGGAACCAATTTAAGCATTTTGTTTAAAATATTTCTTGACTACAAATTAGTGTATGTTTTGATTTTTAAAAAGATTAGTTCAATAAAAGAAATAAAAAAATTTCATACGAATTGTATCAAGTCAGCAGAATCAAATAATACAAAATAGAGGGAGTATATGTTGAATTCTTCATATGTTTAATTCTATATATATATATATATATATTGGTTTCCTCCCATGAAAATTCTCATTACATTTTTGAGGTGTTAGAAATCTGAATTTTGCGGTATCAAATTGTATATTAAGACAAAGAATATTAAAATTAAAAAGAAAAGTTCAAAATATTTTATTCTTCTTTTTTTCTTAGCTAAATGAGGAAAATTGAATTGGTTTTACTTTTTATTTTCTTTACTAAAAAGCACATGATTGATGGTAGCCTAAAGAAAAGCAAACGTATATAGGCATTCTAGTAGATCAAACATGGCCTATGAATAAATATGTTGTACATTATTGAATTTTGTAACCTCGTGTGACATCATTGAAACTTTGAGTAACTTTTCTATTTGTAGTTATTGTATTTTTTGAAAATACGAAATGAAAAATATATATATACTCCAAAATAACTCCACTATATATTTGCTAACATTGGAATTTAGTTATTCTACTTATAGCATCAATCAAATGTTTGTACACGATGTTTTATTTACTTCCTATGTCTTCTTCAACTCCACTAACTTGTTCCAAAATAATTGTTAATTTAGAATTTAAGATTAAAGTTAAAATAATTATTCATTCTGTTTCAATTTCTTATATCTTATTATCGCTTTTTTGTAAAAGTAAAATTTTGATATACGGGTCATAAAAAATGAAACGAGGAGTAATAAGAGAGATAAAATAAACTTGTTTTTTTTTCATCTGATATTCAGTATTTGTATTAGAGTTAACTATTCTGAATTCGCTCTCCATTCGAAAGAAATAACTATCTAAAATTCAAATCTGAAACATCTGATTAAAAAAGGAACAATTTCATCTACCGTATCAGTAAAAAGGGTAAAAGAAGGTTGAGAAAGAAAGATGAGTGTAGTTTTGTCTCTCTATCATGATTTATCTCATTTTAATAAATGGCAATAGTCTTATTAGGGTGTTGTGTCTTTGACTTGGACTGACACCTTCACCTCCCTCTTTCATTTCATTGAATATCATCAACAATAATAATAGAATCCATCTATCCCCACACCCAACCTTCAACAACCATTCTCTTCAATTCTTCTTCTTCTTTCTTGTTTCCTCTCTTTAATTGCACATTAATTACCTCTCACACACACACACACTATATACCTTCATTTTGGTGTGCAATGGGTGGCATATTACACCATAATTTCTCTTTTGCAAAAATAGCCACTTTAACTTTCCTTTTGCTTACTCCACTTGTTTCTGCTTTTCGGATAAATCCCGCTAAAACACTTGGTAAGTCAATTCACTTTTGCCTCATTCTTTTTCTCGTAGTTAAAGCTAGCGTTTGATTATAGATTTTGCATCAAATAACATGCATGTTGGCAAATACAACTTTTAATTTTTGTATTTTAGCATTCAAAATTTATGGATAAATGGGAGCTTAATTAATACCGTGTGAAAGATGTTTTTGTTGATGAATTATGATAATACTTTAATGCACGATTATGTATAATGTTTATGCTTAATCATTCTGGATAACGCTTACATTCTGTTAATTGCAGGCTCGCACATAGTTAGCCTTTTTAATCGACTAGTTGTAAATTCTGCATTTTTTTTCTTATTTTCAAAACTTATTTTAGAGTACTCTCTTTAGTTACTTGTTCACTTTTAAATTAACATATTAATTAAGAAAATTATTGTATATATAGTGAATATATCATTTTACTCCTATTGATTATGAAGTGATTTTTCAAGAAATTTTAAATTTTTAAAATAATTAATTGAGGATATAACAAGTAAATTAAACAATAGATAGGCAATTAATAAAAACAAATGGAAGGCACTTATTTAATTTGTACCTTATTTAAAAACTTTTTTTCCGATTAATTTAAATTTACGTGTGGTATGTGTGTGGTTTTCGGAAACACCTATACTGTTTATGTTGAATAGTGTAATTTTTCTTAAGTGATTCAAAATTTATTAGTTTGATTAATTTAAATTTACGCAAAGTTAATTACGTGTGTGTTTTTGTGAATCATAGGTGGTAGTGAGTCAGATATAATTGAACGAGTTGTGAGTCAGAGAAAACTGAGTGGACCGGGTTCATCACCACCCACCTGCAGATCCAAATGTGGAAAATGTTCGCCGTGTAAACCGGTTCGGGTTTCGATTCAACCGGGTTTTAGTTTCACTTTAGAGTACTACCCTGAAGCGTGGAGGTGCAAGTGTGGAAATAATCTATTCATGCCTTAGAAAAATATCAATTAAATAGTTAGTACATTACTTTTTCTTTTTACTTTTGTATTTAATTGTTTTTATTTTTAACTATGTACTAGTAGTTAATTAATCATTCTATAATTATCTGAATTAGACTCTTTTTTTTTAATTGTAGAGTAATTTGTAAAGTTAAATTTTTGCACAGTGAAAAGATAAAAAAAGGAAAAGTGGAAAAAAGTATTTTGTTGTCTAGTTGTACCACTGATTCTTCCTCTTTTTCATGCGAAACACAGAACATTGGAAATACAATTTTAATATTTTGAGATTGGAGACAAGTGAGGGCACGGAAAATAAATTATTTTGCGATTAGTTATTTATTTTCGTCTATTTATTTTTTTAATTAATTTTTAAAATTAAATATAATTATATTAATTTATTATTTAAAACAAAAAAAACAGATATTTAAAATGATACAAAAAAATATTATAAAGTTTGATTTATATATATACATAGTAAATCACCAAAAATGATATATTATTAAATTGATAAACAATTAACTTTACATTTATTGTTTTACTCTTGATAAGGAGCCTTAATATTCAGATCAAACAAATATTATGACATGATAACACTTTCGTTGAATTGATATTGATTAATTTTCCCACTAATAAGTTTATTGAGTCTCACAATTTGCTCTATTTTCTCTATTTTTCATTTATAATGTAATGCTTTTTTTTTATGATATGAACTTTTGTCTCTAAACACTCTAGTGTCATTAATTTTTTTTTAATGTTAGGTAGGAAAGACGAACAGGTAGAAAAAATCAAGCTAAACCCATACATTTAAGTTTTCTTATACTGAATCTTCGTTTTTAGTGAAAATAACGTCGAGTCGAATTTAATTGAGATAAAAGGAGTACTATTTCTTGATATATGAATTCTAGTGAATATTAATTAGAAAAAGGTTATTCTAGTACATGCCTAAATATTTAAAATTTTGTCAAAATAAAATAGATATTTAACTAAGAATATTGTTTTTTCCCTACTCAATAAAAATTTCAGAATGATGCATGAGTGTTGAAATGAATCAATGAGAGAGTATGGGCCTACATGTGTCATTTGTGGGCCATTGGGCTGGGCTCAGTTAGATAGGCCTCATTTAATGCTGAGTCAGAGTTGCAGATGGGCCGTGTGTCTCTACTGGAGAAAGCCTGCTGCAATACACTGTAAATTGAAATATAATACTGTCAAATCTCATTTACCCCACCCAATTACTGAAACCTCACACGTGCACCTTTTCTTTCTTTTTATCTGACTTTTTAAGTTTGCATTGGTGTTTCGATTATTTTTGAGTGATGTAATTGTGTTAACGCTTTCAATCTAATTCTTTTTATAGTCAAAATTAAAAGTTTTTCAACAAAAACGATTCGAATTTAATATTATTTGATTAAAATTTAATAATTAAAGGATACTTACTACTCCCGTACGACATGATTGGTTATAGCATATCATTTGGTGAAATATTCAGATTCACAAAATGAATGTATGGTGTAAAATGTAAATCTCCATCCAATTGTAGATATTTGATTAAACCATGAGAAACAGACAAACAAACTTTCGCCACATAAATTTAAATGAAATTCCCTGTGTACACGTGGCATTCCATCAAAATTAGTTTTACTTTATGATATAAAGTTTATATTGAAGTCCATGTGACCAAAGAATTAGCATTATCAGCAAAAATGGCAATCGAGGTGAGTTTCCAATAATTATTTTCTCAAAATTTTCATAGGTTCGGTTAAACTAAAACACTTAATTTAATCTAATAAATTATTGATTAATTGATTTGTGTTTAAGTGTAAGGCATGGTTTATGGATGAAAATTCAGAAGATCAGCGGCTACCGCACCAGAAGAACCCACCGGAGTTTGTTTCAGTGGAGAAATTAGCAGTAATCGGAGTTTTATACTGGAAATTGAACCCTAATGATTACGAGAACGATGAAGAATTGAAAAAAATTCGTCAAAGTAGAGGCTACAGCTACATGGTAATTCTGTTATGCTGTTAATTTTCTTTCAATTTATTGATTTTGCTTTAATTTGCTTGATAAATGGAAAATTTGCACCTTTTAGGGTTTTTAGTAGTTTATCTTTAATCTGAATATTGGGGGTTCCGTAGAACTTAAAAACTTAGATTGAAATTCTATATATATTTGTTGTGAAATAACTTGAACATGTTCATACAATAAAATTCAGAACTCATAATTTCAAAATTTTGAATTTGCTCGAGACATCTGGTTAAGAGCGAAGAGACTTTACTTACTTACTTGGAGGTACATTATTTGAGATGAGTGTTGCTTTTGATTTACTTAATGGAATGGAAGAGCCACTTTGAGGTTCCCTCTGAAATGAGGAATGTAAATGGAGCCATTACGAAGGAAGGTTTGAGCTCAAATTGGTCCTGGGTTGGGAACGGGAATTGAACTCTATATGAGATCGTATGTCATGTGTACTTTTTTTGTTTATCTTGAATTGCGGAGAGCCTGTGAAATTATGATATGGAGTAGTAATTAAATTGTCTTCCGAATTCTAAGAAGCACAAAAATGAGTTTGTAGTGATTAGGCATAATGTGAAGCTATTGTAACAAGGTTTGTGACTACCTCGCAGCAATTTGGCGGTTTTCTACTTTAAATTTCTTGATTGGTAAGTTTTAGACATTATTTCCGAGATAAGACTGATGGTAAATATAGGATTGCCATTACCGTAGCACGTTAAACATGTGCAAAGTATACATCAGCTCTTTAGAAGTGTGTTTGTTCAGCACACATGGTCATCTCGTATTCTTTGTAGCTCACAATTTACTCCACACAACACCACACAAAATCAAAATTTGCAACTTCATTCTATTAGTCTAACGACTTAAAATGTAGTTAGCGCTGTGATCTGTGTGATTATTCGCTATATGTTTAAAACTCTGTTTCATTTACCAGCCATTCATAATGAGCTGCACCATCATTTTCTTAATCCTTACATGTTTTCTCTTTGAAGGACTTGCTGGATTTGTGCCCTGAGAAGGTGGATAACTATGAGCAGAAGTTGAAAAATTTCTATACGGAGCACATACACGCAGATGAGGAGATACGTTACTGTCTGGAAGGGAGTGGATATTTTGATGTGAGAGACAAGGATGATCGCTGGATTCGCATCTGGATGAAGGCCGGTGATATGATTGTCTTGCCTGCTGGGATTTACCACCGGTTCACCCTAGATACTGATAACTATGTCAAGGTATGTTGAACTTCGAGTTCCTCTTTTACGAAGCATAGAATAATAACTTTCCTACTTACCAGTGACTCGAACAAAGATCATAGAATAGTAGCGGAAAATTACATCTCAAATATCTAGAGAGCATTTCAAACTTGGTACATAATTGATACATATTGTTACTCTGTTCGTGTACTTGGTACATATTGTTAACAAGCCTTAGGGAATGGCTATAGTTCAAGCTCTATGCATATTATTGGTGACTCATTTATGTAACTTACAAATTTGAAGGGTAAATAATATGATATGTGATTGTTGTTTACGCGATGTTAACTATGCTTTACATTTTGATGATTTTGTTGTGCAGTTGATGAGGTTGTTTGTGGGAGAGCCGGTGTGGACGCCTTACAATCGACCACAAGAAGATCATCCAGCAAGGAAGGAGTACATCAAGAGTGTTACTGAAAGAGTAGGAGTGCCTCTTACAGCACACTAAGACATATTTGAGCTTTACAAACCTGAGAGTGAGGCAAATTATTGAAACTTGGTAATAAATTTTGCTGCTGTGCTGCATATTAATTTGTTGTATGTTTGTATAGAATATCTTGTGTATATCTTTGGGTTATGGCTATGTAAAATGAAGCTCCTGTATTTGGATATCAAAGAGTCTTTAAGACGAGTTGCAACTTTATCTATAGATGGCCGGTCACATGCATATCTTCTATTCCTAGTCTTGGTGGACAGAGTTACCTGATAACTATTGTGGCAGGTGGCATGTATCTCATGGATTTAGTTAAGATACGTGAAAGCTGATTCAGACATTATTTGAAATACAAATATTTTATAGCACTCAAGTTGATACATACTTTGCAATAACAAAGTTCAAATTGCACGTGAACAACTAATTATGTCAATAAGATATATGCACAAAATTATTATTACAATGACTCTAAACCTTGAAGACCTTTCATGAATTGTTTACAATTAGTACTTTATTAGTGAAACTATTCGCGCTTTGCGCGATTATATGAAATATTTATAAGATAATAATATGAAATATATAATATTTAGGTTAGTATCGAATATATAGATAATATTTATATTTCTCCTTGTCTGCGATATTATAGACTTTTTAAAAACATATAAAATATATTTATTTGTTCTGTAT